TTCTAATTGGTCAGGCAAATGGTTTCTATTTTAGAGGTGATGAAGCAGTGATGTAAACCTTTAATTTGAAGTGGCATCTTCTCACCACAAGTTGGTCAGATAGCAAAAAACAAGAAGTTAGCCATGTAGTGAATTGCTGGTGATATAAAAGAAAGAACAGGCAAAATAAAAGGACAATAGTTGAGGATATGGCTTCCATTAAAATTTCATTTTCTTAAAAATCGCTTTCAACTAGGCACCTTAGGGTGAGGGTCAACATTTTATGTTACCAGAAGTAGAGAACCGATTGGGCAACAAGTGATCACATGTAGCTTGCTCAAGTTATATTCCCACAGGCTGTTCCTTTCTACTTTCTATCTCCACTGTCTATGATGGCCTTATGGTGAAACCTTAGTCTTATTTTGCTATTGACATTGCTTTTGTGAATGAATTGTTTTTGTCATTGTAATTGTTGCTGTTGTGGTGGTTGTGCTTGTTATCAGTATTGTTCTGGTTTTTGCTGATATGCAATATGTGATATAAAAAGGGTTCGTGGTATTAGTTTACTTTAAGGTACTCGGTCATGAGAGTTGGTAATCACATGTAGCAATTGCTGAAGATATATTGCCACAGGATTTTTTCCTGCTTTTAATAACCCATATCTATACCGGCATTTTTTGGAATTCTTTTTAAAAAATTATTATTATTATTATTATTGCTGCTACTATTATTATTCTCAGTTTTACTGTTGTTGTCTTTGTCATTATTGTTATTGTTGTTGTCATTGTCTTTATTGTTGTTGTCATAGTCGTTATTGTTATTGTTGTGTATTATATGTGTTTGTTCAAACATCTCTTCGATGTTTCATCTTTTGTTAACTGTGATTTGGATACTAGAATTGGCTAATTGTGTATGTTCATTCATTTACTAGGCTTTTAACAACGCAACAGTTCCTCCTTCAGCTCAGGCTACCTTTCCATATATATTTGCTGTCAGCAAATTTATGCAGGTTTGTTTACAGAGCATTGTTACCCTCTTCTCTCATCAACTAACAGGGAAAATATTGTCCAGCTTATTTTCATATAATTTGCTTTCACGTAATTCTCACAGTTTCTTCTCTGCACTGATGACTCTGTTCTGTCATGTTTCAGCCTGGAAGTTTTGATCTGGTTGGCACAATTATTTACGAGATAGATCAGAACGCTTACCAAAACGTGTTCTACAATGGAACTATTGAAGTGACTGAACCTGGTGGTCTTCTCAGTGTTGAGTCAGTTTTCTTGTTTTGTCTTGCTGTAGCCCTCCTTAGTCTTCTTGGGTTCTGGATCCGTGGTCAGATACAAAATCTCTCGAAGGTGCTTATACTTACCTATGTTCCTTGTAAGACTGGATAAATGTGCTTCAAAACCTCAGTTATTTCGTAAAATGCCTGTAGGGAATGTATGAGGGGCCACAAGTAGATAGTATCTGGGGTTTTTTTTTTTTTTTAATCTTACATCACTATCCTCTTGACATGTCTTGTGTCAAAGGACCCTGAAATCTGCTTCCAAGAGTGACTGAGAGCTGATGTGCCAGTGATGGTGAGAGGGTCTTTCAGACTTGAGGCATTACATATGAGAACAAAACGATTTGCTGAGCAGCTGGGACCTAATAAATATACCTTGCCATCTAGTGCAACTTAGTGCTCTTTTCTGAGTAACATATCTTTTTTGTTTTTTGTCAGCAATAATCACATTAGGGGTTTAAGCATATAAATTCCTGTGCTTTTTTTCCCCTTCTGAATCATTCTCTTTTTCATTTTGGATGTGTGTAGAAAACTAAGAGAGCACCAAAGGCAAAGGTTGAAGTTGGAACTGCAACAACTGATGCATCCACAGACGAATGGTTGCAGGTTTGTGGTTTATTATAATGTTAAAAGAATATAATTCTGGAAATGTTTTGGCAATCTAGTCTTCAAATTATCAATGCTTACTTTTATTGTTTGGACTTGGTTTTCAAGAATTCGCTGACTAACTTGTCCTGTTCTGTTTTTTCTAGGGAACTGCATATTCTCAGTCGCAGGCCAACAAGTTGAAGAAGAAGAAATGAATGACTTGAAGCTACTAGTTTTAGCTGTATGAAGCAGTATGAGAAGTCTACAATCCTGAGTTCGGCTTGGATTTCACGTGATCTCCAAAATGTGAGGTTATAAATTAGAATTGTTAGACCTGCTTCACTGTTGTAGCATGAAGTATAACTTATTATCCTCCAACTTTTACTGCCAATGAACTAACTGGGTATCAAGGATGCAAAGAAACAATTTTGTCAAATTCACTCTCATTTTCCCCTTGCAACAAATTTACTTTCCCTTTTGTTTCTTTGAGTTAGATAGTTCTGTCTATATCACACCCCTTATACCCTGCTAATGTGGGATGCTTGTGCACCAGACTGCCCTTTTTCCATATAGTTGTGTCATCTAGGAAGATTTATTTATTTATTTTTTATGTGGTAAAAACCTAACAAAAACAGCGATGGGTTGGACCATGGGAATGTGAACACCTAACTTAGATGGAAGCAGATCACATCAATATACAGATCATCAAGCCCTGTTTCTTTTTATGACATTTAGGAGATTGGTGAAGAAGCAAAAGATTTCATTAAAGATATTTTATTTTCTAGCTTTGCTGGATGTCTAGTATCCACATTTGTTTATTGCTCTAAAATAGTAGATGCAATTAATCATCACATGCCACAGAAAATAAATAAAGCTACCATTCATTATATGTTTAATTGTGGATCCTCACAAAACTTATTGCTAACCGTGAGGTATCATTTTCCTTCCTCTTTTTGGTTTGAGAAAGGGAAAAACGAATTTTTTTCACTCATTTTGCACCCCACGATATCTTTACTGTCATCTGAAAATATTTCCCATTAACAGTTACGAATGAACATTTGCACACCATACTCCTAAGACTCCATTGTGAGATTTTACTGTGAGATTTTACTAAGCTTGTTGTTATTGTGTTACATTGGAATTAATATTGACAACGTAAGTACAAACCTTCTAACGTGACTAACCAATTTTGTGCTTTGCCTAGTACAACGCTGCATGTGGGAAATCGCATTCAAGTGAAATCATGCTTAATCAGTTGGGGAATCATTTACTCGGTTCTAAGAAAGCTTAACCACTTTCCATTCTTAATCTTCTTCTTTTTTTCCACCAAAGTAAAAAGAGATAGCGGTGAATTCAAAACGTAAATTTCAAAGTTAAATAACTAAATTTACTATCTAATACTTGGTAATTTTCTTATTAGTATAAAGATATTGTTGAACAGCACCAAACAAAGCAAGCTGGACAGCAATGACAATCAAGATATTGTTTAGTTATATTTTAAGATAGGGTAGGAATGAAAGTCATATAACGAGACAGTTTGAAACAATTTTTATTAGTGTGATGCATAAGTCAATAAAAGAACAAAAAAATGAGCTAAAAAGTCAAATTTATGAAAGTAACATTTTTTGCAGTGATTGTGTGTCAGAAATAGGTAAGTGAAGAAGCCACCACGAGGTAGATAGAGGTGGGATTTAATTTGCGGGACAAACAAAGGACAGCAATTTTCTTCCCCTTTTTAATAAATCTTTTAAGCGGAATCAAACAAATTACTGATATATATTTGCAGTATGTGTCAATTCAACTGTCCAATAACTAATGAACTTTTCAAATGTCACGATTTTGTTTTGAGTTTGATTTTTTATATGATCATTCAGATAATAACTAATAGTATTAGTTACATAATCATTTATTAAATCGACCCCTTTTGTTTCCCATAAAAGGGGTAATCATCTATTAGTAACAAAAATGAGAGCTTACATTCTAATTAACCCAGACTATATTACACTATTGTAATAGGATTTCATATCAATTGTCGATGAATGGAACCAATGGAAAAGTCTTTTATATATGCACTTCCATTTTATTCCACACTGGGCTAAACCGACACAAAGACACTCTTAACATGATTTTCTCAAAAATAACTCGCATTATTAAAATATTCTTAACAACTTTATGTAGCTTCTCTCAATTGTCAATGTACCCAACAAACCTTGACAACAACAGAGGAAGACTGAACTTTCCTTATATTAATGAGATTCAATCTATTAAAAAAGACTTACCCTATGCATAATGTAATTTTCTAGTAGAGGAGATTCCATACCACTTTGTAAAAATACGACACATGCACATAACTCAAACGCAAAAAGGGAGTGTTTCCCAAATCCATATAAACAGACATCAATCCATCTAACTGACATGGGACTCTAACCCGCTCTAACACCACTGCAACTAACCAATGCAAAAGATGCAAGATTGAACGTTATTGAATTATAGGAAGAGGATGCAGCTATGGTAGAAGTAGTCTAGAATAATAATACATAAATAATCATGAATTATCCTTCTTCATGATTAGTACAATAATTTTTGTTCCATAATTTGCCGCAGTAGAAGTTAGTTGATAAATGTCAAAAAATCACGTGAAGATTGGGAGACCATGTTTTAGTCACTCACTATAAATGCCAACATTTACCTGCCCCTTGTATTCAATTTAAAACAAAATAAAAGAAGTATATATAATAGAAAGAATGGCAATCATATCATTATTAACAGTTTAGATCAAAAAGTAGTCAAAGTTTCACATATAATTGAGGATATTCAGTAAAATAAGTGACATAAATGAGAGCTAACAAAGTAGGTTAACAGCTAGAAAAGGGATTTTTGTGTACAGTTGGAGACCTCATTGAATGATGATAATGGCGTTTTATCAAACAGCTACCTATGTCTGTGACCACCCATTCCCGAATAATTTTATTTTTATTTACAAAAATCACCTTTCAATTTTATAATCTTTCTGTCATTCATAAAAATTCAAGACCATGGGACCTAAACTCATGTGAGGACCTTAACTACGTGCCGGTGAGCCGGTCATAAAAACAGCCTTTTTCTTTACTTGTTGGTAAGTAAACAAGTACTATAAATATACCCTTAAGTCAGTTGAGACAAACACATTCAAGAATACCATTCACAACTTACATTTATTTTGTATTAACAGAATGGGGCTTCAGTCCCTTTGTGGTAGAGTCCTTCTGGGACTGACCCTGTCTTTACTACTCTCTAGTTTCTGCATTGCTGATGACAAGACAATTAAGGTGGTTGGTTTTGGAGAATGTGCTGATTGCAAGGAGAATAACATTAACACTATTCATGCTCTATCAGGTTCTTTCTTATTTTATTTGAATGCATGTTATGTTAACTGTCTTAAAATTATAATGGTTATATGACATGGTATCCGAGTCAGGCTTACAATGTTGGATCACACATTTTCTTGTTCATGCTCCAGATGTCTCGTCTTGAGCATGCAAGATTATAAAAGGTTATTGTCTTTTATGTGGTTTTGAAAGATTTATCACTTCTTGAGCTAGCTTTTGAATTAAAGTTAGGTTCAAGGTTCATTTTCTAAAAATTTCGTAGTAGATTTCCATAACAATGTTATATTATTGGTTTCAGGACTTCATGTAAGCATTGACTGCAAGCTTGAAAATGGAGAAATCAAAACAAGGGGTGAAGGAGAGCTTGACCAAGATGGCAAGTTTGAAGTGTCACTTCCTAAGGAGATGATGAAAGATGGCAAGCTGAAAGAGGAATGCTATGCACAGTTACACAGTGCATCAGCTGCACCATGTCCAGCACACAATGGCATTGAATCATCCAAGATTATTACTATCAAAACTGATGGAAAACATACATTGAAACCAGCTGGAAATCTTAAGTTCTCAACACCCTTGTGCACTTCTGCTTTCTTGTGGCCTTACTTCAAGTACCCACCATTGCCACAGTTGCCACCTTTCCCAAAAGATCATCCTTGGATGAAGAAGTTCCCTAAGTTGCCACCTTTCCCAAAAGATCATCCTTGGATGAAGAAGTTCCCTAAGTTGCCACCATTTCCACCAATGCCACCATTGAAACACTGGGGCCACCCTTTCCCTCTTCCACCTATTCCTCCCCTTTTTAAAAAGCCATGTCCACCACCACTAGTAAAGCCACTTCCTCCTCCAGTTCCCGTTTACAACCCAACACCAAAGCCCACACCAGAGCCACCAGTAGTAAAGCCACTTCCTCCTCCAGTTCCCGTTTACAACCCAACACCAAAGCCCACACCAGAGCCACCAGTAGTAAAGCCACTTCCTCCTCCCGTTCCTGTTTACAAACCAAAGCCAAAGCCTCCTCCAGTTCCCGTCTACAAGCCCAAGCCTAAACCTCCTCCAGTTCCTACTTACAAGCCCAAACCAGAGCCTCCAGTTAAAAAGCCATGTCCCCCTTCAGTTCCAAAACCAAAGCCTCCTCCAGTTAAAAAACCATGCCCCCCTAAAGTTCCAACTTACAAACCCAAGCCTAAACCAGAGCCACCAGTAGTAAAGCCACTTCCTCCACCAGTTCCAGTTTACAAGCCACCAGTAGTGAAGCCACTTCCTCCTCCAGTTCCAGTTTACAAGCCACCAGTAGTAAAACCCCTTCCACCACCTGTTCCAATTTACAAAAAGCCATGCCCACCATTTCCACACCTTCCACCAATAGTGAAGCCACTTCCTCCTCCAGTTCCAATTTACGTGCCACCAGTAGTAAAACCCCTGCCACCACCCGTTCCAATTTACGAGCCACCAGTAGTAAAACCCCTGCCACCACCTGTTCCAATTTACAAGCCACCATTTTACAAAAAGCCATGCCCACCACTTCCACCATTCCCTAAAATTCCTCCCTTCCACCATCCTCTCTTCCCTCCACTTCCACCTAAAATTCCTCACCCATAGACCAAACATTAAATTCAAGAGTTCCTTTGGGTGTATGTAGGGCTGAATCTTTTTCTGTTTTAAAACCATGAAAATTATTTGCAATTTAATGAATAAAATCGACCGCCAAGAGATATGATGCTTGAGAATGTCAAAGTAAAAGATCAGAGAAATAGGGGAGTTAATTTCACAGTGTTGGTTTGCTTAGTTAAGTTTTCATGCAAATGTTTGTATATCTTCAAGTGAATCATGGTCCGGTAGTGAATAATCGTGATATGTTGTATACGTTCAAGAACGGATCTTTTTAATTTTCTTGTTTATTCTCATTCATAGACACTTGTATTACTCATATCTTTTTAATGCAATGTTTTGTTTTTCTTATTCATGTGTCAACTTGTACTGCTCCTTTCTTTATACTACTTCATATTGCTCTTTGTTATTCATGGAAACTTGTACTGCTCCTTTCTTTATACTCCATTTTGATCCTATTCCTTTCTAATGTGTCAGTATTAGGATACTTATTAGAGTATAATAATAATCTATAATTTTCAGTGATCATTGGCGATTGATAGAGATGACACATTTCTATCAATCATTGTTGGCTTATATGCTCATTTACGGTTGCATCAAAGAGTCAAAATTAATTATGTAGCAGATTCCACGGCTACCGACAAATATCATTAAATGCTATCTACCTACTTGTGTAGATAAAACAATCAATCTTCCTATAATTAGCAATCCATGATTAAGCAATTAACAGACAATAATTCATTTCCTATGGGAACTATTCCTAATTAATTCCATTAAATTTGTCCAGCTATAATCTTAGAGTACTTTGTAAACCAGTGCCACACCTTTAACTTAAGGTTTTAATCTTTGATAATAATTTGAAATAATACAAATAAATTGTACTGCACTGAGGCCACCGCTGCATATAGCTCGTGAGTGAATGAAACCTTTTTTCTTTTTTTGCTTTCGTTTAAGAAACAAGGTTTATATGATAAATTGGTAATTATAAGAGGAAAAACATTGCAAGCCATTTATAATTATTGAAGGGAAAAGACTCAAATATGTCATCAGACTTTGAGAAAAATCTAATTTATATTTACTAGTTTGACTCATTTATGTCATAATTTGTTTTTACACGTAGTCAATTATGATTCAGCCACATCGTTAATTAAATCACTTTTTAAATTAGAAAAAACTCAAATATGCCATCAAACGGAAATGTCCAGAAATTGACATAAATGAGTCAAACGGACACTGAGCATTTTTCTCAAAGTTCAATGGCAAATTTGAGCCTTCTCCCATTATTGAACTACTCTTCATGCACAAATTAATACAACAACATATCCAGTGTAATCTCATGAACATCATACCTTACCCTTACCTCAGAACTCAGAGGTTGCTTGAGCCTTCAGATATGACCTTAGCTCAAGAAACAACAATTCAAAGCAGATCGAAAAAATAATAATAAGGAAGTGGAGAAGCATGGCAATTCATGCACAAATTAACAAGAGAGAAAAAAAGCTTACCAGAAAGAGAGACATGTCCAGTTGAGAAAGAAAAGAGTGCAACGTTTGGATTCCCTGCGGCCTGCAAACACAAAGCCCAATAAAATGGCCCATTAATAATGGGCTTGTTGACATCGCCGCACAGAAAGAGCTTGGGCTTGTAGATATTGCCGCCTTAAAAAGGCCCGTTAGCATCAGTGACGCATATATCACGTGATTTGCCATATCTCTAACTAACTATGGTAACTTTTCACCAACTACGGTGACTTTTAACTCAAGTCCGTCCTCTATCAGACTCTCCAAGATCCTGACACCTGTCCGATCAAACGGTGGTGATTATTTTTCCATAAATTATCCGCTTTCACATCTTCCTATATAATATTCTGTCTCGCTTAAACCCTAAGCACAAATCGTACCATATTGTAAGTTTGAGAAACATCTAGAGAGAAATGGTTAATCCAAGGGTTTTCTTTGACCTTACCATCGGCGGTGCACCAGCTGGCCGCGTGGTGATGGAGCTCTTCGCCGATACCACTCCCAAAACCGCTGAGAACTTCCGAGCTCTCTGTACCGGTGAAAAAGGTGTTGGAAAGATGGGTAAGCCTTTGCACTACAAGGGCTCAACCTTCCACCGTGTGATCCCAGGGTTCATGTGTCAAGGAGGTGATTTCACCGCCGGAAACGGTACCGGAGGAGAGTCGATCTACGGCGCCAAATTCAAGGACGAGAACTTCGTGAAGAAGCACACCGGCGCTGGAATTCTCTCCATGGCTAATGCTGGACCTGGAACCAACGGTTCTCAGTTCTTCATCTGTACCGCTAAGACTGAGTGGCTCGATGGGAAGCACGTCGTGTTTGGACAAGTTGTTGAAGGCTTGGATGTGATTAAGAAGGCCGAGGCTGTTGGATCTAGCTCTGGAAGGTGCTCCAAGCCTGTGGTGGTTGCTGACTGCGGTCAACTCTAGATCTGATGATGATGTTATAAACGTTGATGATGATCTAGTTTTTATCAGTCTTTTCTATATTTGAGTCGCCGTTTTAGGCTTTGTTTTTAATTTCAACCTATCTTTACTTGCTTGGGTCTGGTCGGGTCGAGTTCTTGGGTTAACTGTAATTGGTTGTGGTGTTGCTTCTACCAGTTTATGTTTAATCTTAAGACTACAATTAAATAAGATAATAGACTTGCTGCTAATCTCGATTTTGTTACTTAATCTCCAATTTCCGGTTGAATGTTGTCTAGTCTTTTACTGAACTAAGTCATTATTTTGTTGTTTTCGTTTGGTCGATAAAGATGTGACCGACTTTTGACCGGTGTGGTTTGCGTGAATTGAATGGGTTACTCTTTCTCAGAGTTGTGGGTCCTACACTTGAATCTGATTCCGATATTTTTATTTTGTGGTAAATTGTTGAAGATCAAATTGAGCGGTGATTGTTGTGGAGGGTCCACAGTTGCAGGATGTGGCGCACCACCGAAGAGTGTAATATTAAGTAAGGTGGCCCTTGTGTCGTTAATTAGCATAACAAGAAAAGTTTATCTACGTTGTTCCCCAATAATAATAGTTGCAATTTACATTTAACCTTCGATATAAATTTACTTTTTGAAAACTATACTAAACAGCTCCATTTGGGACAAGTTACTAGTATTTATACACTAGTGTGACTCGTTTAGATTGTTTTGTCGTTGGTCTTTTAGAAAAACGATTATACATAAGTTAGTATTCACGTCGTTTTATTAGTATAATATCAATGAATAATTTATCATATTATGTCTATTTTATTTTTGTTATCAAATAATATTTATTTTTCAATATTTAGATGATTTATACTTAATAAGGATGATTAGATAGAAGTGTATATGTGTGACTCGTTTAAATTGAAAAAACAGAGGACTATGTTTAGAAAACTAGAGTGTATGTATGACTCATTTAGCTCTCATAGAAATGATAACTTGTTTAAATTTGTTTACATATTTCTGTATATCGAGAAGTACATATTCCTTGGTTTATTTCAACTGCTAAAAGACATAATCCTAACTGATTTATTCACGAAAAGAACATTTGCATTAATTTTTGTAGAGGAAAAATGTTTGGTAAAGAGTTTATACCTTGTAATATTTTCTAGTTTTACCTTATGTCGCACTTTTTTTTTTTATATGTTTTCAAAAGATAAGTTCATATTTGAAGACTTTTACTCTGAATAATATGCTAATAAATCTTATAAATATAATTGTATATCTAAACATTATACATTTGTGTTAAAGTCTCTTTACTTTGTTGAGTTCCGTGCTATACAACTTTTTTATTTTTATATTCCGTGCCAATCAAAAAAATTTAAAGCAAGATTCCACTATGCGTTTATTATACTACTTCAGGAGTAATAGTTAGTAGTACTAATTTTAGGAGGTAGAGGTCACTTCAGAATGATTAACTTGTCCTCATAACACCACTTTAGTATAGATTAGTTTATATGAAAATAAATTTATTTTAGGTGACTAAATGAAATATGAAGACTTGTTTAGGGGATCATCTATTGTATTTAGACAAGATATTGTCTAATACATCAATCTATCAGTATTTGTTAACTTCGCTCTCATTTGCCCTTCAACTTTATTAGTAATGATAGGTCTCTTTTTTAAATGAAACGACAAAGTTTTTCCTTTTGCAAAATGTGGCAATGGTGCACATTTCGTTGTATTAATATTCTGGACTTTGTGACAAAAATAGTCAATGCTATTTTGTTGTAGATTGAGCTTTAATAGGCATTTAGGGGATTTAATTATTCTTGAGGTTTTAGAGGTCCTTCTTTTTAAGACCACATACAAGTGGCCATGTGTCCTAGCATCATTTTCAGAAATTGAAATGATTGGATTCTATGTTTCAAAAGACTTTTAAAAGGAATTCATTCGTAAATGGGAAGTGGACAACTTTGAATTGTATTTTTTCTACCACATTCATTGATACTGAAGTGAGGATATATAATCAGATGCCAGTCATGATTTAAAATTTATGCTTTCCAACTTTATTAGGAATACATAACTCGTTTTTATAATTAAGTTTGCAATTATATGTTTGTATATATTAAATTTAAAAATGTATAAAAAATATAAGATATAAATAAAAATTATCAGATTCGTTTCCTCCACTCTTGCAAATAATGGTCGTTCACTTCGAAATTCTTGTGGAAACTAGTGGTCCTTGACCTCGGAGAACATTATTGGCTCCACTGAAAGTTTAGGGTCATGTTCTTTATTTCTTGGAATATACCTTTTTTATTTTCATCTATTAATTAACTTTATCTATTTATATTCTCGATATTGCTAAATTTTATTATACTTAATTTGATGTATCTCTTGAAATCAACCTCAATTTTTCGATTTCACTTGAAATAATCTAATTTACTTGCTTTTGTCTTTTGCATGACTCGATCCATTAAACAAATTTGACCCATATGATGAACTATTAATGTTTATGTATTAAAAATTTCATTTGATTATGAAAATTTAGCTAAGAAGTAGATTGAATGGAGTTGTTGAGTTCGAAGTGATAATTTTTTGTTGAAAAAATATTGTTCGTTGAACTGTGAAATTTGATCCTTAAGCTACATTTAATTTGCACCGTAAATGAAACTCGAAATTTGAGGTTAGAACGAACTTTGTTTTAAGTGAACATTTTACAAAAGCTCAAGAACACCTATGGGAGTTCATATTTGAAATTTGGGGTTTCTTGAAGAATTATTTTTGAGTGAACTTCAACTGCAACATAGTTGGGGAAGAAGAACAAAATAAAATTTCAGAATTAGACACCCAATATCACTAAGAATTGATCAATAGTATCAAGTGTGCACATATGTTTATCTTATTTGTACATTATTTTGAAATCTCACGAACGAAGTTCCTTAATCTCTTGAATTATAATGAGCAACACGAGAAACTTTATGTATGATTTTATTTTGCTCTGTTACGATATGTATGATTCAGTTTTGCCTTTATCACCGTCACAGTCACTTCATCAATTTGCTGTCATAATATATTTTAAATGAGTCAATGGCTTGAAATTATGTATCTTCGTGTTTATGTTTTTTCAATACTTTATATAGTTTTAGTTTTATATTATCTACTTTTGATTAAAAATATGTAAGTATTTTCTTATAAATTCTTTTAAAGAATTGCAAAAATGATTTCTTAATTGCAATAGTTTTTTAGACACGTTCATTGCTTCTTATAATTTATCTTGCTAGTGTTTCAAGTTGGTTCTAAACTAATTTTATATTGGGATAAAATTCAAATATGCCATCTAACTTTTAGAAAAGACTTATTTTGGTCATCTGTTAAAAGTTTAGTTCATCTATGCTATTGTTGTTAAAGAAAAGGCTCATTCATGCCATTTTTTTTAACTTCGATTTTGCAAAACCATTTCTTACCTCCCAAATTTTTGACTTACAAATGATTTTAGAATTTTGGTTTTTAAAAAATAAATACTACAACAAAAAACAACTTTTAGCGGCAATAAATAGACACATTAATAAAGAGTGCTAAAGTCTTTACCGACTTTAGTTAATTGTCATTAGATTCAGTGTCGCTAAAGGCTTTATGGACATATACAAAGAGTTCTAATTGCCGCTAAAAATACATATTTAGCGACAATTGAGCTATTGCTGTTAATTTGCCGCTAAAGATAATTTTTAATGTAGTGAAATTAATGATGTAACAAAAAATTTGAGATAATTCGTGAAGAATTGAAGTTATTAAAAAAATTGAAAGTTGTTTATGTTTTGTGTTCTTATTTTAATCTCTCAAATTATAACAATCTAACATAAATTGAAGTAAAATGAATATACAAGTGAAAATATTAAATAATATGAATATATCTTATAAATTTATTACATTACATTTTCAATTATTTTTTAAAATTTTAAAAAATAATATAAATTATTAGGTAATAATTGAATTTACTATCCATTTAACATGATTTTTAACTTAACAGAATAATTTTGAAAATAATTAAAAGAGTTATAGTAGAAAGTAGCATTTTGATTTATGTCCTTGAATATTTTTCTTAAGGAGTGTGTCATACTATAACAATTTACTTTATATGAATTAGAGGGACTAAGAGAGTCATATATTGATAGTATTATTTAAAAATAATAATTAAAAATCAATTCATTTAAAAAGCAAACCGTACATATTATGCAAAAAACTATTTCTACTTATTTTCTTAAAATTATATTTCAAAATTTTTGAAAATATTAAACAATAACACTACAGTATTTCTACTTATTTTCTTAAAAAATTTATAGTGTTAAATCAAATTCAACACTATAACTATTCACATGCAAAAAAGTAAATTCTAAAGGAATGTAAGAAAAATATTTAAAAGAAGGCAAACTTTGCACCTTAATTGTTTGCTTTTGACAAAACTTAGAAAGCAAGGTGCAGGCAGTCCTGTGACTTACAAGTACACTGTCATCTTGCGTCTCGGAAGGACACTTCACCTTTCCGCATAAAATTTTATGGAGTTATCCTTCTATCTAAATGTTGCCCTTTTAATTTTAACTTATTTTTTATTGTTCTTTTAGAAATTTCACTTTTTTTTTTTTACCCTTTTAGCTCCTGACTCTTATAATTCAGGTTAAATTCAACCCGCCCCAACCCTCTTCACTGCCATCCCTACATGGTATTGGATGTTCGACAATCATAACAGAGAAGGTGTACATTTGCGTCAATTGAATAATGATAAAAGTACTTTATATATATATATATATATATATACACAATAGAGATTAATTATTTTCGCAAGATAGAGAGGAAAAAGGACCCTTTTGCTATTCTAAAACGTTTGAAACATGAGTCTTTTGAGTATTATAGTTAGTGTCTGTGGACTAATCAATATGTTGCCCATTTGCGATAGGGTATACATAGATTTATTCAAATTAAATGAAATACCTAGAATAGAGATGATCCTAATGAAAATTAAAAAAATAAAATATATATATATATATATATATATATATATATTACTCTATTACCTTGGTCGATTAAAATTTAGTTAAAAGCTAATTATAAAAGATTCTATATCATGAAAGTGAATTAGGATAGAATAATAAACTGTGATGATGTGAATCTTGAATCATGATTTCACGAGGGAGTCTCTGCGATTTGTAAACGTAATTAGGTATCGTTTAGATCTTGTTACTCCATTTTAAAATATGTATTAAAATTTATTTTAATTAAATCAAATAGTGAAAATAGCACATTAATTTATTTAGAGATGAAAGGGAATATGCGGCAACTGCCTGATTACTGATTAGGGTCAGTTGGGTCACAGCTCACACCCTTTTTGTTTGTCGGCTGAGGTGGCCTTCTTCGTTAGACTCGTTACCGTTATCTGATCATTTTCCTCAAAGCTCATATTAACGGCGTTAAGTTTGCTTCATTTTTCACGTCTAACAAAAATTGTCCCCGCGTTACAGTGAACTTCGAAGAAGAAGGAGGAGTAACATATTGCGGAAGCTTACAGTGGAAGATAAGTTTGGGTTATTGGGGAGGGAGAAGAGAAAGAGAATTCTCTGAAACTGTAGTTAAATTTGTTCTTCAGCTGTTTCAGATCTCCCTCTCCCAATTCCCAATATACAGTTGTAAGAATTTTGTGGAACTAACATTCTTTCAGGTTCTGTATATGTTTACATTTTTGACAGTGTATATGTATATATACCTACAGAAGAAGAAGAATTAGGAAGGGTATAGTGGAGGGGTTATTCTTACAGATTGATTGTTTGATTGTGTGTATATATATATATTGAAGAAGTAATTAAGAGGATGGGTTTTTCGGAGAACACAACTGGTTTAGTTCTAGCAATGGTTTCAAGCTTGTTTATTGGAACGAGTTTTATCTTGAAGAAGAAAGGTCTCAAGCGTGCTGCTGCTGCTGGCACTCGAGCAGGTCTGAATTGGGACAATGTGTTCGCTTGCTTGATTTCTCATTTATTTTGTGTATATGTAACTGCTCCTGCATTAAAGTTGCAGTGCTTGTATGGATGCACAATTCCAGCAATTAAGTATGGAGTTGAGATGAGAAACTGCTCTATGTGTGATATTAGTGAAATAATGTATCAGTTAACTGCGAATTGTTTGGGTTGTGAACTGCTTCAATGTGTGATATTAGTGAAATAATATATCAATCAACCGAATTATTATCCCTTATGAACTCCATTCCTCTCAATTGACGCCTGTTCGATATTCAAAAGATTCATTATAGTCGGCTTACTTTACACTGACCATCCCTCCTCCTTTATCATGGCTTAGGACCGATATGCTTTGTGAAACTCACATGGGAAAAATTATATTAGTGAAAGAGTGTACTGCATTTATAATTCCTTATTTGGTAGATGTTGTTATTCTATACAGTACTTAATTCCTAAGCATGTTTATGATATTGTATATCTTCAATATAGAGTGAACTGTTCAGTTCAATTTGTTGTATTGTTGGTTCTACTTTGATTGATCATGACAATCTTTTTTAAGATAGTTCGCTGTTCCTTAATTGGGTTGGTAGATATGTCTGGTAAACAGTGCTACTGACATACAACTAGAGCTAAGTTTACTAGGATTTTGCTCATTTCGGTGGTGGATTCACTTTCATTAAGGATCACTTTCAGTCAGGTGTTACTGTTCAGGCATGTGTTGGAAACACAAATGAAGTGGGGGATGGAACACATGAAATCCATTATTTGGAAATGGACAGGAAATGCGAAAATTATCAAATATGAGGTCTAAAGGCAAACTATTCATCTTAACGTTTTCGTGCTGTGTGTGTTGACAACGTTTCTAACCCCATTAGGTCCATTCTTTTTCTGCTAACAGTTACATGATGTGAATTGGCGAATTGGATTCTTGGCATTCATGTTTCTAATCCCATTTGTCAGTTACTTTAATTTGAACCATGAGTAGGAAGATTGATAAATAATACTTGGTTTTCTAGCTGATTAAATTTTTGCAACGCCAGTTTGAACAGCTTCTATTCTTATTCATGATCTTGCCAATCCATACATTACATAAGAAGAACCATTTTCGGTTGGACATTATAGTGCAAGCAGAATCTTTTATCCATGAAGTACTTATGAGTTCACAAGGAGTAACCTATGGCTGTACTTGTAGCGGAGCATATTTTGCTTGAAAGTTTATACTGTTTTGTTTTTCAGACTGCAGTCTAGTGTGTCAATTTTCCATTTAGTACTTTAATTGGCCAAATAACTTTAACATTTTCTCTCGTATCCTTTTTCCTTATTGTATACTTTGTCAACTTCAATTCGCCTGGTTAAACAGTTATTGGCGACTGTGATCTTCACTGCAGGAGTTGGAGGCTATACTTATTTGCTTGAACCCCTTTGGTGGGCAGGCATGATTACAAGTAAGTGGATCATGAGTTGTCTCCACGAGTAAACTTCATTCAGGATAAATATGCATTAGTATTGTTGTGGTCTTAATGACATTTGGATTTGGCTATGCAGTGATTGTTGGAGAGGTTTCCAATTTTGTGGCCTATATTTATGCTCCAGCAGTTCTTGTGACCCCACTTGGTGCGTTGAGTATAATTATCAGGTGAGATTTTGAAGTCTTATGTGCTGTTTTGAAACTCTGTCAAGGAACTCCTGCTGATGTTTCCATAACTAACCTTGGTGAATCTGAATAGTGCTGTCTTGGCACACTGTATGTTGAGGGAACGGCTACAACGATTAGGTGTAGTGGGATGCATATTGTGCATAGTAGGATCTGTGGTAATTGTTATACATGCACCTCAGGAGCATATGCCAACTTCTGTACAAGAAATCTGGATTTTGGCAATTCAACCAGGTCTGGACTTTTAGTGTTTTTTCCTGTTTATCTTGCTATAGGTTATGGTATTTCTCTCTCCTGTGAGCTCATTACGAATTTCTCCTTCTGATTTTGCCTGCAGCATTTGTGATTTATGTAGCAGCAACAATCTCCATAGTAGCAGCTTTGATGTTTCATTATGAACCTCGTTATGGGCAGACAAACATGCTGATATATTTGGGAATATGTTCCTTAATGGGTGCACTTACGGTAATTATGTTTTCTTCTAGGCTTCTTCAAGTCATCATCTTTATTCCTACATAAAATTTGTACACTACGTTCTTCTTGGACATAAAGCTGTTTTGCAGATGTGAACACTTCCCTAGCCTGTCAAGATGTTTCTGTGGCTTTCTATTAATTTATTGTATTTGCAGGTTGTCAGCATAAAGGCTATTGGAATTGCAATAAAACTTACTTTGGAAGGAATTAGTCAGATTGCCTTTCCGCAGACTTGGTTTTTTCTAGCTGCTGCAGTAATCTGTATCATCACGCAGTTAAATTATCTAAACAGGGTAATGGCATAATACTTTCCAGCTTGACTGAGATCTGCTGTAATCCATCTGATAAGTCATTTGCATTGCCTTTACTAGCGTGAATTCCCAATTCTCTAAAACAAATGCCTATAATCAGGACTAACTCAGACCATTCATCATGTGTATATATGATGGATGTCAATTCCTCTGAATTTGAATGATACTCCTATTGTAGTTATTTGGCTTTACGATATCCATGTAATGGCTTTACGATATTAAAATTTTCCTTATTACATGAACCTTGAGATGCTCCTTGACCATTACAAAGTGCAGTAAATGGGCAGTGCATGCTATTATGCTTAATTTTTGGTTTTGCAATTTAGTGATATGCATGATATTTCAGGATTATTCACATGGCAATTTTTTTTTTTTTGGGGGGGGGGGGAGGGGGGAGGGGGTCTGAAGCATTTTCTAACATTTATGCATCATTTTGATAGGCACTGGATACATTCAATGCTGCAATTGTTTCTCCAATATATTATGTAATGTTCACCACTTTGACCATCATTGCAAGCGCAATAATGTTCAAGGTATGTTATCAATTTGAAGCTATTCTTTGTTGTGGTCCTCCATTAATATGTATGCAGAGTAAAGGCTGCGAACCCATCATTTGCTTTGTTATATTTCTTTGCAGGACTGGGCTGGGCAAGATGCTAGTAGCATAGTATCTGAGATCTGTGGATTTATCACAGTTCTTTCAGGAACAATTTTACTCCATCTGACTAGAGAACAAGAACCAGCAAATCCACCAGGTAAAATTTGAAGTTGAAGCATGTACCTGCTACCCAGCTAAATAAATCGTATGCCTCTCATCTTGATGTATGTATATCCTTGATATCATGCAGTCTAAAATCTTTTAAAATGTATGGCATTGGATCTGTAGGTCTGCAATACCTAAAAACATATGTTGATTTGGGTGTAATTATCCTATTTTAGGTCAATTTGACTACTTATTTTCAATGAAACTTCTAAATTTGGTTACTTTGTGTTTTTCTGATTTCAATGAAGATGGTAGGGAACACAAATAAAATAATCGAATCTGTACTCCGTCTGATTTTACTCGACCTTTCACAATGATTATTCCTCTTCGTTATGGGGCTAGACCACGAAAGGAGCACAAATTTTTGCGGTGCAGCATATGGTGAAATAGTGAGATTAGCTGCTCCAATTTTTCTTAACTGGTGCACATGCTCTTCTAATTTTGGGTACTTGGTTCTATGGTTAAACATCTTAAAAGAGCATGTGTTTCCATCATGTGACACATTGGCATCCTTTAATTGACATTGGGACTGATGACTCCCTTGAGCTAGTGATTGGCAGAAATTTTTAAGCACATGCTGGTATTAATCTTGATGTTATAGAACTTTCAGTAGAAGTTCAGGTCTGGAGTATACTTTATGTTCATAGAAATGCTTCTGTAGAAGCTAGACTTGGAACTCCAAATTGATGCCTCAATATATTTATACGACTCAAAAGTATTGCAAGTTTGTGCTTATAATCCATTTGTTTATGCAGGAAATATATCGTGGTATGATGGAGAAGATATAAAAGTTATGGAGGATGGACATTACATAATGTTGAATGATTCAAACTATTTCCGCTGATATCATCTCGTTGATAGAGATTCTAGATTTCGACTGCAAAAGTTGAAGCTGTATCCACAGCTGATGCTTAATTTGTGAGCATTCTTGCTCAAGCTCCGCAATGTTGAGCTTTACAAGTGGGAGACAAGTTCTCGTACAAGCACAATTTTGGGAAAGGCTATTGAGTCGAAGTCACCTTGTAACTGAAGCTTGGCATGGATCCTTGCTGTGCTGCTGTTCAAATTGAGGTTTGTACATACCCGGTGATGTCTCTTTATTCAGTTGGCTGTGTAGAGGATTTTAGTTGATTCATGTTGTAATTTATTGTGCCACCAAATTGGTGCAACATTTTAGGAGTTTTATAGTGTGAGAATGTAGCATAGTTGCAGCAGTAAGTTAGATCATGTATTTTCTGGAGTTCATGATATGGAAATCTGGCCTGCTAAATTCTTGACCCGCCACTCTTTAAAATCTGTTTCATGTTTGTATGGTGAGCTAATTTCACATCTAAGAGTGATTGGATGAATTATTCTTTTTGTAGACAAATTTAGCCTAAAAAGCTAACGGGGGACATTTTTTGTTTTGTTGCACTTGTAAGGTATGAGCATAAATAGATGATCAAATAACCCAAATTATTCTCATAGTTAGACAATTACCATCACAATATTTTTCCTTATACAATAAAACTCGTGGGACCATGAAATATTATTATTTTATAGAGGTATTATTTAAAATTGATAAATTAGTATTTATTTATTTAAAAGAATGTTTCAACATCGTAAAATTCCTTTGGGATGAAATCTCAAAGAATTTGAATGAAATCACTTGTGAAAATGTCATTCATTAACTTGAGGTCATGATTAATGATCTTTGTAACTGCAATAAATTGGATGTTAATAACCTGTCAGATGGGTGGAAATGATACATGTTCAGAGGTCCAAAACTTAGAAGAAATTGTGGATACTATTGGAAAAAACAATGTTGATGATAAAGTTGAAAATTATACAATACATCACTTATCACATCTAGAACTTTTCACAATTTTATGCTATAGTTCGAAAAGACAACATCAAAACGTTTGGATGCAAGTGATAAATTTCAACTAGATTTAAATTTTGATAAACAAACAGAACACAATAGAATCATATTTCACTAAATTGTCTTTAGATATATTTGTACTTTTAAAGAATTATTAATTTATAATATTAATGGGACCATATATTTATATAGGGGTCTTCTAAAAATATGCTATATTATTTTATCAACATGAATGATTTTTTCCATTGGCCCAAGTCGGAATCGAAGAAAAATATTATCTTAAAAAGATTATTAATTAATCGAGTATTAATTTAATGAGGTTCTACTTGTAATTCATATTTTTAGGACTTAATCATAATTAGTAATTCTCGTTTGATGTTAAGATTAGAGAACGGTTTATGAATTACTATCAATATGTATTAGACTATTTACTATTTGTGAATTTAATTTAGTAATTTTTAGTTAGGAAGGAGTAATAAGATACTCAACATATTGGAAAAGCTTGACAAAATTATTAGTAAGGAATTTAATAAATCATTAAACCTATTATTAAACTCAATCGATATAATTTTGTTCATATTATCAGTCTTAAGTCGATATAAAAGAGGCCTATTTCTTTAAACACTGAAATTTATTCATTCATGATAAATCCTAGCACAAGCTCTCACTATCTTTTTCTTTTTTTCTTTTCATAATACTCCTTTTAATTCTTTCTTTTTTTTTCAAGTGTTTCTACTTGTTGGTTTTCCTTTTCCCTCTTTATTTTCTAGTTATCAATAAATTATTATGAGGATTACCTGTAATTTCTTAGTTATTACAGCAAGATATGGAATGCAATATTTGTGGTCTACAATTACACATTTACACGTCTTGAATAAAAATAAAAATAAAAATTATATAATCAACGCAAAGTCCTTTTCCTTTCAGACGAAGGAGTTAATATCGACCGTTGATCAAGACGAATCTATTCCGTAAAATCGTTTCTTATCGCACGTTGACCGTTGGATTAAATCAACAGATCCTAAAAACCTATTTCTTCGCTTGAAACGAAAGCGAATTCTCTCAAAAAAAACCTACACAGAGTTAGAGAGTCCAAAGAGCAATAGCAAAGAGCAAACATGGCGGCAACCGTGAGCGCGTGGGCAAAACCAGGCGCGTGGGCACTTGATTCGGAGGAGAACGAGTTGGAGCTTCAAAGGGAAGAGTCAGTGAAGGTTGAAAATCACTCCAATGGCGGCGGTGCCGGTGGCCTTGCCGATTATCCATCTTTGGCCGCTGCCGCCACCACCAAAACGAAGAAGAAGAAGCCACAAACCCTATCCCTTCAGGAGTTCAGCACTTATAGCGCTGCTAAGCAGTCTCAAACTGCCGCCGCTGCGGCAACCAAAGGCCTGACACCGGAGGAAGTCTTGATGCTCCCCACCGGTCCTCGCGAGCGTACTGCGGAGGAACTTGACCAGTCTCGACTCGGAGGTGGTTTCAGATCGTACGGTTACGACAGGCAAGGGGGGAGGGGTTCGTCGGACGATTCTCGTAGGCAGGGAGGGTTCCGAAGGGATACCGATAGGGAAATTGCTCCCTCTCGTGCCGACGAGACTGATGATTGGGGTGCAGCTAAGAAAACATCGGCTGGTAATGGTTTTGAAAGAAGAGGGGAGAGGGGTGAAAGGGGAGGTTTTTTCTCCGATTCCCAGTCTAAAGCTGATGAATCTGATAATTGGGCTGCGAATAAAGCATTTGTACCCTCTTCTGGTCGAAGATTTGATAGGAGAGGGAGTTTTGGGTCAAACGGTAGTGATTCCGATTCGGATCGGTGGACCAAAAGGAAGGAAGAAGAAGGTGGACGGAGATTTGCCTCCGGTGGTGGTGCATTCGACAGTTTAAGGGAAAGAAGAGGCGGCTATGATTCCAACGGTGGCGTGGATTCAGAAAATTGGGGGAAGAAGAGAGAAGAGAACGGAGTTTCTGCTGGTGGTGGTAGGCCAAAGTTGAATTTGCAACCAAGGACATTGCCGTTGAGTGAAGGACAGCAGAACGGTAATGAGCCTGCGCCTGTCCCTGTGGCGAAGCCGAAAGGGGCTAATCCATTTGGGGCAGCTAGACCAAGAGAGGAGGTATTGAAGGAGAAGGGACAGGATTGGAAGGAGATTGACCAAAAGCTTGAGTCTTTGAAGGTAAAGGAGGCTTCTGAGTCCAGTGATGGTGCTCCGATTGTAAAGAAAGCTTGGGGGAGTCCTAACGGGAAGCTGATTTTTCGCGAGGACAAGACCGAGAAGAGTTGGAGGAAGCCCGAGCTGAATGAAGTTCCTCCTTCCAGGTCTGATGGATTCTTATGTTAGATTCTAGATTTATCAACGCTTTTTGTATGCTGATTGCTGTTTAATTTTTCGTGACTTCATTGATTATTACTGCTTGCTATTCGCAAAATATACTGTGACTAGTTAATTGGTTTATAGATATTTGTGTAGCCTTGTTTAGGGGTTTAACAAGTTATGTTAAGCTTACTTTTATTGTTTGCTGGATTTCCCTAAATCTAACTCCCTATACTCATATGCTAGAGCATGGTGTGTACCAAGTATGATGTAGTCGTGTATTCACATAGTCCAAGTGTAGTTGTAAAGCCATTGATGACACTAGTTTTTTATCTGCTTGCTTGATATTGAATGATTATTAACCAGCTCTTGGACCTGACACTCATTGGTAGGACTTAGTGAACAACCTTGGTGTCGAGCAATGCAGTAAAAAGCTGCCTTCCCCTTTTTCCCATGTATTGGCCTCAGAGGAACATTTGTATTCGATGCATTTCCTCCTAATTTAGGGTAATAAAGTGGGGGTTTGGATGCAAAATGTATACATATGATTTTGTACAAACTCTAACTAACTTGTAAAAAGAATGAGGCTTTAAAATGCTTGATGTGCTGATTCTTGCTTCTGGTTAGTGCATTTTCTGGCAAGGAGTCAACTTGGAGTCAGATAGGATTGGGTCGATTATGCTGTGGATGGGGGAGCTTTCTCTCTTGTTCCTCTGTTTTGTTTGAGCCGCAGCTTTGAGTTTTACATACTTTGCTGATTGTGCACCAGTCTTGTACCTAAATGACATGGTTCCTGACACTCATTTTTGTAATGTTTTGTTGTAGTGCTGAGGAAACTGTAAACGGGGCTGTTGAAGAAACTGTAAAGGAAACTACTGAATCTGGTGGTGAACCACAAATATGATGCCAAAGGAAGTAAAAGTTTATGAGCTATGTTTCCTTCAGAGTTTGAAATAGATTCATGTGATGCGAAGCATTGAGGCAATTTTGATAGAACTTGTTATTCTTAGTGTTTTGTTTTCTGTGTACCTACACCAACATTATCATTTTGCTATTTATGTTTGTTCTTTTTTCTGTTGACTCAATTTAGAATTGTTTGTTCTTAAGCATCATTCTTAGGGTGTGGAACACAAAGGGGATAAAGACTGTTAAAGATGATAGATTTTGATTTTTGATGATCACTCTTAATTTATTTTTGGACTTTTTCCGTGATTCTTATCATGTTCTGTTCTTCTTGTTAGTATAAAATAAATGTTCTAAGTTCTAACTGGAATGAAGAATCATCTTTATTGAACTCTCATCTCTTCACTCTGCTTCTTCTAGACTTTAAATTTAAGAAATACTAACGTTTTGTTTCTAGTAGGTTAAGCTTTAAATGAGCTTTCTTTTAATAACATATCATGAATAGTACAAAAATATCAATATTTCATCGGATAATAGAATATATGCATATTATCTGTTTTTGAAATGTTTTTGGTTCGAGTAACACATATCAAAGAAGTTAGAATAAAATACAGAATGTGTGTTATAGTTTAAATTCTTTGGACAACCTGATCATTTGCTGTGTGTTCCCTGGTTTCGAGTTGGTCGGCAAGAGATCAAAAAGACATTATGATAAGAAACGGTAACTTCGATTTTCTTAAAGAACTATTTGCAACAATTTCACTTAACATCCAAAGCTAAAGCTATATTATAGATTTTTTTATAAAATAAGCTGACAACTTTATTCTAAGAAATAGGTCCATTCATTTATTCTAAGATATGTGGCGATCTTCAGATTACATATTTTATCTTCAAAGATAGATTAGTCCTTTTGCGATGTGTTGACACGTTAATTGCATTACTATTAAGTAATAATGTCTCTAATTATCAATCATAATACATTTTCATGGTACGACAGCACATCATTGTGTCATTTGTAGTTCTATTGTTATTGTTTTCTCCACAGTCCACACGACTCGGACGGCTCTCTAATATGTTATGCATCAACCACGGTAAATTTACAAATGGAAATCAAATTAAAGAGTTGATATGTATGTAATTTTATTTCCTATTTTTATTAATAGATCCTCAACTCAAGTAAATTATACTCCCTCTATTTCAAAAAGAGTGACCTAGTTTGAGTTGATACAGAGTTTAAGAAAATAAAAAAGACTTCAGAATCTTATGGTCCTAAATTAAAGTTATGTCAAATATACAAAATTGTTCTTTAGTCTTGTGGCCTTAAAAATGGTACGTGGAAAGCTGAAATTAAAATATTATCAAAAAAGGAAAGAGATCATTCTTTTGAAACAGACTAAAAAAGAAAGTATCAAATTAGGTATAGGAAAAAAAATCAAATGTAAGAAATAACAGTAAACAATAAATAGTATGTTAATTAAAACAAAAGAAGAGAAAAGTAATAACAATTTTGATAAGAAAAATTAGATAATCAACTAACCATCAACCGTAAGAGATACTATTATATAATTACCACACACACATCAACCGGATATCCCTTTATAACCCAAAAGTGGACCTGCTTTTTACTCTGTTTGTCAACGTTCAACTGGAAACTGCATTTCTCAACAAGATGTTGTCTATTATTATTGCATATTTACACTTTATGTTTCCTCAATTTGAAAGTCATAGCTGTAATTGCAACTTTCTTTCGTTTCACATTTGTATAATTAAATAAATAATTCATTTTCTTATGAGCAATTCTTGTCACATGAGACATATGACTCTTGGTTTAATTTTTAACGAATGCTTAATAATGATGTATTGTAGAAAGAATATGGGAGCTTTATTTCTATTTGTCCCTCAAAGTCTGTCTTACTTAGTCCTAAAAGTACAACTATCCACATTTCTCAACGCTTGATCGAAAGTCCTAAAAGAGAATAATTGTTATTGCGTACATGCCTCAACGCTTGATCCAAAAGTAGTTGTACAATTAAGTTGTAATGGGTCATCAAGAATCTTTAAAATTGACACTTTAATTAAAAACAATTATATTCATGGTTCCTAAAACACATGGATACATTAATTTGAAGGATATTTAAGTGATCATGAAACTAAGTTTCTAAAAGAGTAGTAGTTTAATGTGCAATTATGTCTATAATTATGTACCATCTGTACATAAAGCAGTATGGCAAATAAGAAAGGTCGGTGATTGCAATAAAAAGCTGGATCATAATGATTTTTACCATATCTTAAATGAATTTCGGTACCAATATACTGCCTCCCTCACAAAATAAATATCGCTTAAAAAAATCAAGACAAAAATAACAATAGTTGTTTTAAACTATATCCTTGTGAGTATTAAATAAGTAATACTTCTAAAATCTCAAGAAAAATACAGTAAATTGAGTAATTTAGTAAACTATACCTTACATTCTTTTAAAATAGATATGAAATGAGCTACAACGACACTTATTTTGAAACGGAGAGAGGGAATAGTACTTGCCAATTTTTCAAAAAACTCATTAATTGAGACAGTTGAGTGTTGCTGTGTAACCAAAGCTTCATAAATTCCTTCCCTGCTTTTTTTTTTTGTTCACATTCAAGATTGGAGTCGAAACCAACCCATTACTGGCTACTACTTAAGTACTCCATATTTCTCTTGCCATCAGAACTCAAAAGAACATCATGGATTGGTCACAAAAACTTTACTTTACAGCTTTTCTAATTGTTGCAGCAGCCATTCGGGGAATTCATGGTTATACTATGGTCTCTGGAACTGTCTTCTGTGACCAATGCAAAGATGGCCAAATCTCTCTCTTTGATTATCCTCTAAATGGTAACTAAAACTATTTAATTACTACTTAAGTTCCCATATGACATTATAATCAACTCTGTTTTTGGTACTTCTTATCCAATGTTTTGTCCTGCTTCTTGATTAAAACAGAAAAATCGAGTCTTGAAAATCTTGATTAAAAGGCAGGACGGTGCACAAAGCTCCCGTTATGGACAGGGTTTTTTTGATATTTCTTATCCAATGTTTTGTCCTCTTCTTGATATTCTTGGATTATAACAGAAAAATTGAATCTTGAAAATCTTGGTTATAAGGGCAGCATAGTGCATAAAGCTCCTGCTGTGCATAGGATCGGGAAAGGGTTGGATCGCAATGGGTTTATTGTACGTAGTTTTACCTTACATTTCTGGAAGAGTTACTTTCCACTGTTTGAATCTATGACAAAGACTCTTTACATTGCATCAAAGCTCCCTTTTCAGTCTTGAATCTTGATTAGACTTGAAAAGAATCCTCTTCTTACTAGCATTGTTACTTAAGTTTTTGAGTGCCAAATTGTGTGCAGGAATAAATGTAGCAATGGCGTGCCCAGACAACAATGGACAAATGACAACATGGGGAGAAGATACAACAAATTGGCTAGGAAATTTTGCCATGAAGTTTGATGGAAATCCAGATTTGAGTGGCTGTGTTGCACAGGTTTATCTAAAGTACTTCATTTTTTATTCTATACCGATGGTTGATTTCTCAGAAAGTCACTTTTCTTCTTGATTCCATTTTACTTCAACACACTAAACATCTGAGAAATCAACTCGTCATGACATTAGCATGAGACTGATGAGCTTAAATGAAGTGACACTATGAATGAAGATTCATATGATCGACCTCAGATTGTTTGAGATTGAGACGTAATTGTTATTATTGTTCCACAGGTTACAAGCAGTAATGAGCAAGGGAAAAGAGGATGTGGGACAGGAGGAGGACCAGGAAAGTCACCAAGATTAATATTTAGGATGTTTGATATGAATATGTACACAATTGATCCTTTGATTTCTCAGCCTTCAGATCCAATGTCTTTCTGTCCAAAATTTTCATACCCACAGCCACACCCCAACCCTGTTTCCCCTGCTACACCACCATCAACACTTCCATATCCACCTACTCCCTCATTGCCTCATTTACCCTCATGGCCTCCTTTACCCCCAATGCCTCATTTCCCCTATTTGGATGCTTCAGCTTGCCCACATCAGTAAGTCTAACATTTTCTTGATAACGTCACCTAGAAGATATATTCATATGTTAAAAAGTGAGATTAGTAACATGAAATATAAAACACTTTTAGGGGTCGTTTTGGTAGCTGGTTAAAGTTATGCAGGTATAAGTAATATATTGATTAGTTATAAGGGAATTTATGTATTATTTTATGTAGTGATTAGTTATGCGGGTTTTAGATTGCAAACCAAACATCATATTAATTTTATACATGAATAATTTACCTCTTAACTAGCTGCTAAATGTGGTATCACTTATGCAAAATTTAATACATGCATGATTGTTCTCCAAACCAACTACCAAACGACACCTTACTACAACCATTTAAATTCACAGTTATGCAAAATCTTTTACACTGTAGCAGTAAATGCATAGCTAAATTACTCTCTTTAAAAAGGAATTGTCTTTATGGGGTCTGTACATCTGGACCATTATTTGCTCACATCTTTAACTACTTTTGTTGCTATAAATTTTTTCCCAGCGTCGGTGGAGCATAGTCAAACAGGGCTAAAAACATTGTTTAAATATTGACATCAGATAAAGAAATTAGTACAATTTTGTTACACAATGACAACATTTGTACAACAAGAACTTTTGACTAGGCACAAAGTTAAAATTACATTATTTTAAATATAGAAATGTGACGTTCTTTTTACCTGTAGGAGCTGGATGATGCCAGAATACCGCTGCTACTGGAAAGTAATAAATCCAGATTTGAAAGTAGGTGTTGTATTTGGGCTGATTGCTGCTAGAAAATATGGAAGTGATATAACATTATGGGAAGGTATGCAAGGCAGAGGAGAACCTTATAAAACTTTGTTAAGAGAAGGGACAACTGCACTTTTGAATTCTTATAACAGTGTACAATTTCCTTATCATCCATTGAGTGTTATTCAACATATGAATTGGGCATTAATGGGATCAACTCAACAAGTTATGCATACAGCTTTGAATTTCTTGAGGGCTAATTCTGGAAATGGAAGAACTACTTGCAAGTTCAATCCTTGCAAGTGATTATTAGTAGTGTACTTTTAATTGATTTGTAGTTGAGTTAATCACGTTTATATTACTCTCTATTTAGTAATACGTTGTTGGCGTATACTTGTGTCTACATTTGCTCTGTACGTCATAGTATTTTGGAATCGTATGTTATTGATTCCCAAAATCATTGTTGATTGCTACAGTATGAAAATAAAGAACTACTTTGAAATTTTCCGTACGGTGGAACTTCATTTGATACCTCTTATTTTCCCACAATAAGCTTGTCAACATTACACTTTAGCCATCTCAAAATGTCAATATTACAATTTTATTTTCTGATTGCAAGCAGGTATAGTAAAGATGAAATTGAATGAAAGTTGTTTTTTTAATTTCCTATCCGTCAACATTACACTTTAACATTTTCTTGGGGCACCAAATACAGCTGGCTTAAAGCTTAAAATAATAAGTAATCCCCAAGACTATCGGCTCTATGTTTGAGACTTCAAGCAAAGGTAGCTTCATATGAATAATGCACATGGCAAGGGATGATAAATCTCCACTAATTAACTTGAATCAGAAAAACAAAGATGGAAGGCTGCTCGGTTTTCAAGATTGAAGAAACCAGCATTAAAGAAATCCACCAAGCATTTGCTCAAGGCAAACTCACCGCAAGAAAACTAGTCGACTTTTACCTTCACCAAATCGAAACCCTAAATCCGCTGCTTCGTGGGATTATTGAGGTGAACCCGGAGGCCCAAAATCTAGCTGATGAGGCTAACAGAAACAGAGTTAACAGTACTGAAACTGGAAGTTTTTTAGGGGAGTTACATGGAATCCCTGTGCTTCTTAAGGATACATTTGGGACAAAGGATGAGTTGAATACTACTGCGGGTTCATATGCTCTGCTGGGATCTCAAGTGCCGCGAGATGCTGGAGTGGTGGAGAAATTGAGAAAAGCAGGTGCTATTATTTTGGGAAAAGCAAGTATGAGTGAATGGTACAAGTTTCGTTCTCTCAGTGGAGTTCCTAATGGATGGTGTGCTCGATCTGGACAAGGAGTGGTTCGTTACTCTTTTTCTCCTTTTCTTTATTAGATGATGCTCTCTTTCCATAGATCCTAAGGCTCTCGTTTGGTCATAAATTTTGAAGTTGGAACTTAGAAAAATTGAGATTTTAAAGTTGTGTTTAGACATGCATTTTACTTGTAAAAAATTTCAAGTTTTGTAGGTGAAAGTCCCCAAAACCCAAAAATTGGTCTAAAAATAATTTTTCAAAATTTATGGTCTATAGCTAGCTGCATGTGACATGAGAGAGAGATTCAAGCATAGTTTTAGTTTCATCACTTTATCTTTGTTTCCGGATTAGAACTCCTTGGCTGTATGTGTCACATAATCCTTACAGTTAGCCAAACGAGAAAGCATAACGTGAAAAATAATTTGAGAAATGTAGACAGAGAGTAAGAACCTATAGTTCTAAAAGGAGATGACTGTATTTTGTCAATAGATTGTGCAGATTACCAGCCTAAAGCTCCTTGTCTGGATAATCTTTCATGCTTCAGAACTATTAGTATAGAATTGAATACGTCTTCTTATTGGTAAAGCTAGGAAGAGTATTATATATCATCTTCGAGCTTCCTAAGACTAACTATCCAATTTTTAACATAACAAGCATCTAATAGCTCCTCCAAAGAATGTATTACATTTACCTTTTCAAAATATGTAGAATCCTTATTGCCCGTCTGGATCACCATGTGGATCAAGTAGTGGCTGTGCAATATCTGTTACTGCAAATATGGCAGCAGTCTCTCTTGGGACTGAAACTCACTGCTCCATCATCTGTCCAGCGGATCATAACTCAGTTGTAGGGCTGAAACCTACTGTTGGGCTCACAAGTCGGGCTGGGATCATACCAATGACTCCCCTCTGGGACACTGTTGGGTGAGCCTATTTTCTTTACTTGCTCTCTTTAAATTTATTACTACTGATTAACACAAGAAGTAGAAGAGTAATTATCCGAAATCTGACCAGTGTTCTGTTATCATATCATTGCACAAGTTAAGGTGTGTTCAGGAGATTGATGATAATTTTTAAGGAAGCTGTCTTAAACAGAACATTTCCTTGTTATTCAGGCCTATATGCAGGAATGTTACAGATGCAGTTTACATGCTTGATTGTAATTGTTGGATCAGATCCAAGAGATGAAGTCACCGCGGAAACAGCTAAATATATTCCTGAGGGTGGCTACAAACAGTTTCTCGTGGAAGATGGTCTAAAAGGGAAGCGAATAGGCATTGTCAGACACCCATTTGTGGAAATGATACATGGAGCACTCGAAAAATCAGCTTTTGAGCATCACCTAGATTTGTTAAGGTATGAAGCTTTGATACCTCAAAGTCATCTTTTTATCTGCAAAATCACAAATAAAAATAAGAAGTCCTTTTTAGTTTGTTTAATTTGTAATTGTTTGGTGAACCTTCTGTTGGAATTTCAGGCAAGAAGGAGCAATTCTGGTAGACAACCTGAGCATACCACATATTGAAGAGATAATGGATTCAAATCATAGCGGTGAAGCTTTGGTGATGATGGTTGAATTCAAGAGCTCGATCAATGCTTACCTGAAAGAGTTGGTCACTTCTCCTGTCAGGTCATTGGCCGACATTATTGCTTTTAATGAACGCAACTCTGAGTTGGTACGCACTTTAATTTTCAACAAAAGGTCTTTAGGCATTAAGTAAAACTAATAGCTAGAAACAGGAACGGTTTGATGGAAGTGGAATAAAAATTGTCATTTGTTTTTTGTGGTTTACATACTTTTAAGTAACATGAAAATGTCCAATGGATCTTTTGATTACAGGAAAAACTTGCTGAGTTTGACCAACATACTTTTATAGAAGCCGAGAAGACAGACGGATATGGAGAAGAAGAGAAGAAAGTTGTGGAGAAGTTGAAAAACTTTTCACAAAATGGATTTGAGAAAATGATGAACCACCATGAGCTTGATGCAATGGTCGTGCCTGGTTCACGTGCCTCTCCCGTTTTTGCAATAGGTGGCTACCCAGTAATAACCATTCCAGCCGGGTATGAAAGTGATGGCATGCCATTTGGCATCTGTTTTGGAGGTTTGAAGGGTTCTGAACCAAAGCTGATTGAAATTGCCTATGCCTTTGAGCAATCTAGCAAAGTTCGACGACCTCCTTCTGTAATTTAATATTGCTTTACCCTGAAGATTGAGTATATTTGGAATGAAAGAAAGCAAAGAACGTTGCTTGCTGCTGAATGTGGAGCTAATGGTGCAATGTTGAACTGATAGAATAGAATGCTTTTATTTTACTGCACAATGCTAAATCTTAGTTGTAGTCAAAACAGTTTCTTCAAGTTTGACTATTTGTGCTAAATTGTTTCTTTTTTCCCCCCAATTTCAGAGACATTGTTTCTCACTTAATTGTTCTCTTCCGATCCCCTGTTGAGGATTTTTTTTTTTTTTTTTTTTTTAATTCTTCTATACCCATTCTTTATTATGACTAGATTTCATTCTCTGTTTCAGAATAATAGCACCCAGCTGAATTATTCCTTTTGTTGATTAATTCAAGAAAGAATAAGGCACAGGATCTAATTAGTCGATCTAAAATATACCTCCATATAAGGAGACAGTTGCCGGATACCGCCGGCATAAGTACTTTGACCAAAATTACTCAATAGAGATTTTAAAGAGCCTGTGGACTCAAATATCATAAATAATTTGGAGAGTGAAGTGCAATTAGATCCACTTTTTAGGTGGTCTGCTTGACATGAATGTTTATTCTTTGTCCGCATTACTTACTCTTACGGCCATATCACTTTTTGGATGGTCGTATATTGATATTTGCCATGCATTCTCGATTAAAGAAGCTAGCATTAGCGATCTGCACCTTGCTTTTAGCCAAAACCAGCTTACATCGAGGCAGCTCGTGGAGTTCTACCTTGGAGAAATTTCACGGCTTAATCCCGTTCTCAAAAGTGTCATTGAGGTAATTATGTTGAAATGTGTAATTATCTCATATAAAAATATATTCTTATTTACTTAATTATGTCTTTAACAGATAAATCCCGATGCACTCTTGGAAGCTGACAGGGCTGACAAAGAGAGGAACGAGTCAGCAAGCTCTTTGTCAATGTTGCATGGTGTTCCAATCCTTCTTAAGGATAACATTGCAACAAAAGATAAGCTTAACACTACTGCTGGATCATTTTCATTACTGGGATCAGTGGTGCCCCGTGACGCGGGTGTAGTGACAAAGCTGAGAAAAGCAGGTGCGATTGTACTAGGGAAAGCTAGCCTCAGCGAGTGGGCTCACACTCGGGCGCTAAAGGCGCCCAATGGCTGGAGCCCTAGAGGTGGACAAGGAAAGGTAAGTTATATATGTCAACTGGAGCTATAAAAAAAATACTTCCGAATAGTAACACCACTAAAAAGCAGTCTATGATGGGAAAATTATGCAATGAACTAATGAGGTACACACTTTTTCTATGCAGAATCCTTACGTTCTCTCCGCGGACCCTTGTGGCTCGAGTAGTGGATCAGCAATATCAGTGGCAGCAAACATGGCATCTGTGTCAATAGGGACAGAGACCCGTGGTTCAATCTTATGCCCGGCCAGTTCCAATGCAGTTGTAGGCATCAAACCAACCGTTGGACTCACTAGTCTAGCAGGGGTTATCCCAGTTACACCTAGACAAGACACTGTTGGGTACACACATTCTAAATCCACATCCGTTAATTTGATACTTCTTCTGAACGATACCAATACAACAATACTAACTTGTCATATGCGTTGGTTGAACAGGCCAATTGGCAGAACAGTAGCAGATGCTGTTCATGTTCTTGATGCCATCGTAGGCTTTGACCACAATGACGCAGCTGCAACTGCTGCAGCAGCTAAATTCATTCCTCGTGGTGGTTATACTCAATTTCTGAAAGTAGATGGCCTTAACGGCAAGCGAATTGGAATAGTGAGAGACCCCTTCTTCAATTTCACTAATAATCCTGCCCTCGCTCAAGCTTTTGAGAAACATCTCCAAACACTAAGGTAATTCTGAAGATATCATTATTTGTTAAAAAGGTGACGTCTAAAATCTTAATCTGTGAAGATATAACGGATGGCAGTGAGAGTTGAATTTAGGATCTCTGCCTATTTTAATATCATGTTGGAGTGTAAAGACCACATTCAGACAATTTCCTGTTTTCCTCAAATGCAGGCAACAAGGTGCAGTCTTGGTAGACAATGTGATGATAGCCAACCTTGAGACAATTTTAGACTTTAATCTGAGTGGTGAAGCATCAGCAGTATTGGCTGAATTCAAGATAGCCTTAAATGTTTATCTAAAAGAGCTAATTGATTCCCCTGCTCGATCCTTATCAGATATAATAATCTTCAATCAAAAAAATCCCGAACTGGTACGTTATTCATGATCAAATAATCTACAAGATTGTGTCGATATGACCGAATTAACTTCACTAGTTGTCATCCAACTAAGTTTCAGTTTCACAGAAAGTCACTCAACTTTGATTTCTCATTTCAGGAGATGCTAAAGGAATTTGGTCAAGATATATTTTTGGCAGCTGAATCTACAAATGGAATTGGGGAAACAGAATTGAAAGCTTTGAAGAATTTGTCAAGATTAACAAGAAATGGATTCCAAAAGTTGATGAAAAAGTATAAGTTGGATGCATTGGTTACTGCTGGCTCTAGTGTTGCTGCAGTTCTTGCAATTGGTGGATTTCCAGCAATTAGTGTGCCAGCTGCTTATGACAAAGGGGTGCCTATTGGCACTTGTTTTAGTGGGTTGAAAGGCTCAGAGCCTAAATTAATTGAAATTGCCTATGGCTTTGAGCAAGCAACTCTAATTAGAAAGCCTCCCACATTTTTTCCCTAAATATGTACTACTATTAGAAAAATATGTACTATGTTCCTTTTGTTTGCTGTGTGCATTTCTTATTTGAAATATAGAGAGGCATGTAACTCAATCTTAAGGAGCGAAAAGAAAATCGAATTTGAAATATCAAACACTCTCTTCCGTACAAAATAATTGATGTTTGACAAAATCAAAAGGTATTTAATTTCTTTCCTAAATTTGCCCTTAACATATTCATAATTCGATGAATATACAATTTAATAGTAATAATTATGTCAATCTAAAAAGAAAAAAATATCATAATTAAAGAGTATTTTTGTAGGAGGTATTGATCAAAATAGTCCATGGATTAAAATTTAGTCCAACAAAAACATTGTTTGGTTACTTTATTTAACCTAATCCATGAATTAGTTATACCTCATACAAGGTCTTATTTTATCCCTAGAAAAGAGAGGGATAACTAATCCAAGGTTTAACAATCCTTGGATAAGACCCCTAAATTACTAAACTATCTCCAAATCTTTTTTCCTATTTTTTTTTTAATTTAATGCTCTATTTTATTTATATGAGAATATTTATAAATATTCTTTTAAATTCTCCAAATTCGTTCCATGTAATTTGATGATTTCACAAATTAATATTTTTTTCTCCATGTTTGATTTGTTATATTGAGTTGGTTTTTTCGAGTTTTTTTTTTTAAATGTAGTTCGTCGATGAACTATTTTTTTTTAAAAAAATAAGTTGTGTATTTGAACAATTTAAGTAGCCTTAAATCTATGTTAAGTTTAAGGTTAATATACCGTACTATCAAGGATCTCTATGGTGGCATATCACACCTCAAAATTTAATAATAAATTTTTAAATATATTTTAGTATTTAATTTGACAAATTAAATGAAATATAAAATCTCATAGTAACTCAAGGGTATAATAGGAAAGAACTTTTTTTTTAGAATTTTAAATCAAACATAAGATTAAATGGGAAACATGAACCAAACGCTTGATAAAAACTAATCCTTGCATTACTAATCATGCATTAGTAATCCCTATATTATGCATCTTTGTACCAAACGATCCCTTAATGACGGTTGATTTTGGATGCTTTAATTAAGCATAGTCATGGGGTGAGTAAATAAATTGATGAATTAATAAACAGAGACGTTACCAAATATTATTCATCAAATTATCAAATCAGACCCCTTAGGACCAACACCTATCATGATTACAGAATGAAAAAGAACCAAATCGAATTGAAAAAATAAAGTAGGATTTGAACAAATACTTACTTTCGTCCAATTTTTGTGATGGCAATTCATGCCAAACTAAACATTAAACTGTAGTTTTGGAATGCAAAATTTTCTATATAATTTGAACTCTATATACGGGTAAATTACATCACATAAATTGAGACAAAAAAAATAAGTTTTAATTTCTTTGTTTGTTGTTCTATAAAAAAAAAATTAAAGTACCAATTAAATTCCTCATAAATCAGTTTGAATTATATATTAATTTAATTTTTAAATAAATTGAACTGGACGAATCAAAATTAACGGAGGCAATAAGCAAGTGGATCAATAATTCATCACAATTGAATGAGTCAAAACGAATCATGTTTTTATGCAGTAGTACTAATTTTGTTAATTTCTGAGTAGGAAACACTCTCGTGGTTGGTCTGTCATTTCAATTGTTGTTGAGTTTGGATGCTTTTGTTGACGCCCACACTTGGAATATATAGTAGTTAAGGGGTAGGTAAACTTGATGAACTAAACACACACAATTACCAACTCTTATTTGTCTATTCTTTTTTTTTAAAAAAATAATCATGGTGACTGAATCAGTTTGTGCGCATTTTAGCTAATTTCATATGATAATAATGTCACTTCAAGGCTAAAATAGTCGGAAAGAAATCATCTAGTATTTTATCTATATTGGAATTTGAACTTAAGAGTCATAATGCTCAACCTACATTATTAACCTTCTGGTCACACCTTAAGTACTCTTCTTCATTATAATTTCGTACAAGACATTAGGCTTGCACTATAACAAATAAAGGATTTGGTGGCAATAATATAATTATCAATATATTATATTTAGCGACATTAATAAATATGAATATTTATAACTAATCAGAGTACTTTTTTATATAAATGTCAATAAAGATTTTAGTTCCTCTAAATAGAGCAACATTAATTCAATTAGTATTACAATTTTTGTAGAAAAAAAGGAAAACAAGGAGTAAGATAAAATTTGACGCAGCATAACCAAGCAAATCTTATTGGTCCAGAGTAGTCTGATTCTAATGAAATGGTTCGATGTAGACATTTACTATTTAAATAGAATAACAAGATCC